TGTGTATTATTAATCTCAGTAACCACTGGATGAGCACGTTCAACAGCGTCATTCAGAGCTTTGTTATTTCAAGGCCAATTAGTCCAGTTCACTGTTTTGAGTCTGCTTAAATACATTAGTGGGATTTTTCCAGCTGCTGCGGCCTGCCAACACTTTCTGCTCAAACTGTCCCAGGATCTTTCTGATATATTCTAATTCACACTGAATGTATGGCTGTAAATTATAGTAGGATTATTCAGTCACCTGAGAATACATCCAGGTGAAATGAGATCATCAGCCTTGCAGGTAAACCAAAAATTCACACTTTAAGAGAGCAGAAGACACAACTGAAACCTCTGCAAGAAGCAGCATTGTGGCCTCATTTTGAGCTGCTGAGCTTGGTTATTATTTTTATCTTCATTTACTTAAAATACAGCTACTTTTCTAAAAGTTAACAATTGATGAGGTACTGTGAAAAACTGTTTTATGAGCTGCCTCAAGATGTCTTATTAATGTTCTGAGGTAAATGTATTCTGTATTTGGACTGTACTGCCATAATTGATTTCTCTTTCTTAACTTGTTAGGCAATCAGGGAGAGAAGCTCATCTCCAGTGTCAAAGAAGATTATGTTTGAGAGCTTTGTTCAGTTAATTATCAGCACAGCTTTGCCTTCACTTCCTCGTTACATTGTTATACCTAAAGAGCTGATGTTCATTTCCTAACTAGGTAATACCCAAATATGATGGCAGCATGAAGAATATGCTGCAATAGCGAGCTTGACTTCCCAGGCCAGCATAGAGGATTCTCCTGCATCACACACCAGTGCTATGATAACAGGGATGTTTGGCCCCTCTGTCTAGACCTGGATCACACCTGCCCTTGTGCAATTTCTCAATATACTGTGGTCCTACTGTTGAGGTATTATGAGAGGTAAATTGGTAGATTGCCATTGTTCCTTGTAAAGATGACAATTGCTGCTTATCACAGACTACTCCTAGATACTCGGAGCATTATGCATTATGCCAGTATTACATATATTATTTATTATCTAATAGATTGTTGGTTCTGACTCTCTTTCTGCTGCCAGCAGTGATGCTACTAACTACTCTTTATAGTCATCCGGAGGAGGAATAGGGCTGTATAGAAGCCAGATATTTAAGTCAGAGCTGATCTGCCATTATAGCTAAATATAGATTTCCTGCATTAGAAACAAATAAATTAAAAACCTCACATATTTTAGTGGCCTAAGACTTTTCCATTACTGCTTTCATACTGCTCATGTGGTCACCATAATTCATGAACAAGAGCATTCAAAATAGTATTCATTATTTACTGATCGTGCAGCTAACGTCCTCATACAGAGCTAGTGAAAAAGTAGCAATGCAATTGCTCAGCTTACTGCATCCCTCAAGCCTGGGAAGAAATGATGTATTGTACAATAAACAAGTGAACTCTAACTTCGGTAAAATATCGATGTGTGACTTGCACTGAAGTTTTTGTATGTACTGTAACATGCATCAGGAAGGGGAAAAAACAGAATAGACTTTTGCTGTCCTTCCACCTTTAATGGAGAATACAGACAGCTTTAAGCTTAATGTATTTTAAATATCTTGACTGGTGCATATTATAGTAAAATATTTAATTTAGTGACTTGTAAAGCTAACTGGACTTGTCTTTATACCTACAGCTACCAAAGATAAGAAACTTCCAAACTCTGTTTAATAATAAAGAAACAATAGTTCCTCAGCTTCTCTGTTCACTTTTTTTTATATTTAATCATACGATTTAATATATTTACATTTTACTTTGATTAAATTTGAGCATCACTAAGCTGTCTATTTATCAGAGCTTCTGATAATATCAAAAAATGCATACCCTGGAAGAAAACTATAAATAACAAAATTCTTTCCAAATCCTTTCTATATAGACAGAGAACTAATAGGTGAAGAAATATAGAATGCTATGGGACTGCACAAAAATCTACATTTATGATAGGAAAGAATCCAGTCTATAACATCCCAAAGATATTTTTTTTCACAGTATCCCACAGAACACTGTTGTATATCTTAGAAATGTCTGTAAATAAAAATTATAAAATTTATTTTCATTAACAGTTAAAATTATTGTTAGGAAGTAGGCACTCATTTCTACCTGCTAAAATTGAGTTAAAACCATATGTCCCAAAGATTTATTATAAAATTCAAGAAATTAAATATTCAGTGTTACTATCTCAGCAATAATTACAAGATGAAGACGTCAGTTACTTTTGAGAAATCAAAAATATTTTCTCACAAGTTGCTCATATGTTGATAAGAATAGAAACAGCACAATCCCCCCAAAGTGAAAAAGAGACAATTTTTATTTTGCATCCAGTTTCATCTTACCCAGACAGCTATTAGGTTAAAAACCTTATTCCCAAAAATGAAAAAATCCCCCTTCATAGTGATATAGAAAAGGGAAAAGTCCTCGTAGAGGAGGTCATTATTTAACTCTAAGGGCTGCGAGCATACTGTTGCCGGGTCAGAAGGTATTATGCAACAATGTGATGAGTTAATAGAAATGACCCCAGAAAATACATTAAAACGAAACACCATTTTTAGAAAATGTGTATGTCTACCCAGCTGAAGCCAAATTGGAGTGGCTCACAACTTTAAGTGTTTCCCTTTCTGGCTCCCAACTTTCCCTCCTGGGTTCTGCCTGTGAAGAGCAGCAGGTCTGTGCTCTGAGCAGCAAACACCTCCAGAGGAGTCTGTAGATGGGTCCCAGCCACTGCCCACTTTACCAGACCCTTCATGTCTCATTCACCAAGATCTTTTTCCCCTAAACCATGCAGACTGGTGACCAGACAGCCCCTCCCCAGTGTGCTGTTTATGTAAGAACAACACGCGGAGTAAAACACCAACTGAAATGTCCTCCAGCAGGTAGCTTTAAATATAGCAGTGCCTTGGAAAGTACCTGCACATGTACTGACGTGAAGCTCAGGGAAGTCACATAAGATCAAGATTTTCTTCTAAAAGTCACAGTAGCAAGCTGTTTGGCAAAATCCCAAATGCTGGCAAGAAAGATATTGCGAATCTCGACTCCTCGCTTTGCCTTGAATGGCAAGCCAGAATTTGCCAATTAACTTGCACTTAGAAAAAAAGGCTGAGCATGAATAAATAAATACATATGATGTGGCATTGTTACAGCAACAGTACATTTCAAAATGCTGAAGCCAGTGGAAATACTAAGAATGAAACATGCTACTCCAAACATCACTTCTCCCTCATCTTCAGTTGAGGATGTTTTCATTTTCACTCTCTGCATATGTTTGAATGAGGCCAACCTGCTGAGCCCCAATGACAGCATCCAGCTGAGAGAGAAGGAGGCTAGAGAAATTTGAACACTGTTGTGGGAGCTGCTTGTGGAAGCATCATAAGAAATAAAAGGCAGCTGCAAGTTCCCGTAAGGCTGAGCTAAGAGACTGTTTATCAGCTCTTGTTTGAATGAAAAAGACAGCGGCATTAAGAACATGCAACAAACTTTTTTTTTTTTTTTCATCCCCCTGACAAAGATTTCCACAGCTTTGACAGTGCATCTTAGGTGATCACAGAGCAGACAGATCTCACGAGCATCATGTGCTGACTGACCCTGCTACCCTGAAAGCTTCGTCTAGTCAAACTCCCTGGCAGGAGGATCACACCCCTAGCTTGGTAGGACATTGAGGTTTCAGACTTTGCCCAGCCTCTCAGGCTCAGTGCTAGCTCTGCACTAACTTGGATTCAACTTGCCAGCTGAGCAAACTTGAACGCTTATTGTTTTTAAAGCTAAACCTCACCAGACACAGCTTTTCCCACTCCTGAGCCTCTCCAGTCTCGCTGTTACTCTTCCTCTTCTAAACCAGCCCTGGCAGCTCTTCAGGGCTTCAGGATGGAGTTGCTGAAACCTTTCTCTTAAATGTCCTTTTAGTAGCCAGGTCTGCCTGCCTATGGATTTGCTAAGGAATGTTGCTTCCACCTGATGCTACTGACACTTCCCTTTTTATACAAACATTTGAAAAGTGACAATTTTGGCAGGAAGTCTAGAGATGGTCCTCTCTGCGATGAACTAAAATGTCCAAGAAACTGTAAATATACCACTTATTTATATCTTAATCATTATGTAACTTGAATGAAGTCCAAGACTTCATAAATATGGTCTGTACGTAGGTATAAACAACGGTCTACCTTCACACAGGCACTGAAATACAGATAGGATGTACTGAATGGTTTGTACAAACCATGCAGTGAATATGCCCATTTCTACAGACGTTTGGGTTTTTAAAGCCAGGGGAATGACAGCATGCTACATATCTACAGAGAGAATTTATGCCAGTATATTTCAGGCTAGCACAATGATACAGTTCTTTCAGCTTTGGTAGTGGGGATTTTTTCAGTCGCTGGGTACACGGGGTAATTCAAATGACAGTTATCTTCCGAGAAGCTCAGGGTTTATATCATCAGGTTCCCCCAGCGCTATTAGAGCATCGGAAACAAATGATGAGCCTTTATCTTTAAAGCTCACCCACGACAGGAGGTAGAATACTACGAAATGCCATCCCCCCCCTACCCCCCATCCCTTTTAGCAGCTCCGAAGGAACAAAAACACAAGCCACGGTTTCCAAAGCTCTCCGGCGTGAGGGCTACACGGTTCTCCCTCGCGCTGATCCAAGCAGCCAGGGAGAAAAACACGCTCCCGAGCCTGCCCCCTGAAGCCCTCGGGGCCGGGGTCGGGGTCGGGGCCGGGGCTGGGACCACCCTATCGCTCCGGGGGGTCCCCGGGGCTCCCCGGCGGCCCGGGCACCGCATCCCTCCGGGGGCCAGCCGGCAGCTCCTGCCTCCCTCGCAACTCGCATCAGTGCGGGAGGCGTGGATGACTCGGTCTCTCCAAAAAAAAAAACAAACAAAAAACCCATAATAATAATAATGATGGGAAAAAAAAGATCAAAATAAACCCAACCCGCATCCCTCGGCGGGAGGAAGGAGAGATGCCCCGCCGCTTACCTTGCTCCGCGGGAGCCCGGGGCACCGCCGGGGGCTGGAGGAGGGATTCCCCGGCGCTGGCAGGGGCTGCTCGGGCTTCCCCGGGCAGTGCGCGGCCGCCAAAGCCCCGGCGAGAGGTTTGTGCCGGTCGCTCCTTCCCGGGGAGGGCTTTGCTCTACATTCCCGGCTCCACATCACCGCCCCCCCCGGCACGGAGAGGGCTGGGGGTGGAAAAACCGCGGCAAAGGCATCTCCCTGCTTCCCCCCCCCCCCTCCTCCGGAGCTGACAAGCCACCGACCGAGCGGCGCGGCGAGCGGCTGTGCTGGCGGGCGGGGATGGGGGGGCCGGCAGGGAAGCGCTGGTGGAGCTGGGGGGGCGGAGGAGAGGCGGAGGGGGGGGGATAAAAGCCGAGCCCGCGCTGCCCTCGCCCCGCTGTAATCCCCGGCTGCATGCGAGCTGCCGCCGCGGCCGCCTGGGTCTGCGGCTGTGCGCGGCGGCGGCGGCGCTGGGGAGGGCTGGGGGAGCCGGGGGGGCACGGCCGATCCCGGCCGGGGCAGGCGGGGAGACCCCCGCACCCTCCCTCCCCGCCTGCCCCCACCTGTGCAGGATGCGCGCACCCCCGCGCCGCGCTCCCGTGCCCGGCCCAGGGTGGGGAAGGGGGGACGCGCACACGCTCCCCCCCCCCCCCCCCCGCCCCAACACCCCCCTATTAAGCCTCAGGCGGGTTGTGCACACACGCTGCAAGACCCCCGGCAGGGGAGGCAGGGGATGCACACGCACACAGGCTCACGCTACTCCCTCCGCAGCAGAATCCCCTCTCTCCCCCCCCCCCCCCCCCAAATAATGAGCCCCCTCTCCCCGCACGTACACCCACGCTGCCATCCCACCCACGGGGGATGCCTCACGAGGAGCACCGAAGCAGCCCAGGCTGGCCACCAGCCGCCCGGCCTCGCTGTTGGGGCGAGGGGGTCCTGCCAGGGGCTGAGCCCCCCGGGCACAGCCTGCAGCCCCCTCGGTCAGGACCCCTCGCAGAGCCTGGGGTCGCTTTTAGCACCGCGTCTTTGATGGGGCAGCTGCCTGCCATCAAGGCTCCTGCTTCTGCCACTGCCTCGCCCGCCTTCCCATCGGGTTTAATAGTTCTTCTTTATTGCTTTTTAATGGGAAGTCCTTTATCATTCCCGATAATGTGAGGAAGTCTGTCTCCCCCATTCAGTGCTGCCCCTCTGTATTTTAGGGATGGGATTAGAAAGCTGCTCTCCTTTTCAAGCTCTCCTGTCTTCCCTGGGTTTCATAACAGTTCCTATGTCACTTTGCCCTCTGCGTTGTATTGCTCAGGCTTCATCCCTTCCTATAGCTCTGAGGTCCTGCCCTCAGTGTTGCACATTTCTCTGCTGGGGTGAAGGCTTTCCAATACAGTGCTTCTCAGCTTCCATTTTCTTTTATTTTCTTTAAGCCAAAGACCTCCTAATTCTTTTGAAAACCCTCCAAGAAACAGATTGGGCAGTATTGCCACTATAATTTCAATTAAAAGCAACTAAAAATTGGGTTAAACTTTGAATGCTCATTTATTGTCTTAATTTCCCCTCATTTTATTGGCTTCCTCGACCAACAGCTTAGAAACAAAGCTATGTGATTTCAAAAAAAGGTCAACCACCTTTTGCCAGCCAAGCCCCTGACGTTTTCTGAATGAGTACCACAGCTTGAGACCGGCTATTAATGGTAGTCCTAAGTGGTGCTGATTCCAGGTTTAATTTTCTATGGAGATAATGATTTGTGCTGAAACCTCCAGCAAAATGCACTTTGTCTGAAATCTGGACATCGGTGAGGCAGATGTCTATCTGTGCTTATAAGGGTCACCGCAGTCTACCCCAGGGGAAATTCTCTTCCTGATCTGGTAGCTGGCAAGCAAAGCCCTGCGAGTGTCCATTCCTGCCCCTGCCTACCAATGGGGTCAATCACCAACTAAAATGTAGGTGTCTGTATATTCCATATGTTTCAGCCCCTCCTATGTGCCCCTTCTGTCTATGTATTGCTTTACCAATATTTGAACCCACAGATCATCTTCAGCTGAATACGAGAGGTGGGTAAAACTCTCAAAGACAATTAAATTCCTACAAGTTTGAGAAAAAGAAGACAGTCAGGGGAAGAGGCTCTTTACACATCCTTTTGCGCCCAGAGCGTGGTGAGGGTGTCATCCGGAGCTCAGGTGGTGTTGCATACCTGAAAGTCTGCATGTATATGTCACATCGATGAGAAAGGTTCAGCTGGAGCTTCTGTCTTCTTAGTCACTGCCGTCAGTAAAGCACATGGTGCAGAGCTGTAGGAAAAGTTCATTCATTCGGATGCTCATGAAATACCAGCCTCTCAGGAGCTCCAGTGCTCCGCTACTGCTTTTCATGATGCAGTGAGTGGCTTTGAAGGCTGGGCGTGTTTTATAGAAGCAGGCAATGTTTTCATAAGATTTTAATAGTTGAGGTTTTGGTAGTTTTATAAAGGGAGATTCTGTTATTTCTCTCTCATACACATACACCCAGACACTAATAGGACTCGCTTGTGGGGAAAGCTGTCAGAAAGAGCAGTTGATAGGAGAGTTCCCACAGCTCTGCAGCTATACTGGTGCACATGCTGAGTAGACACTGCTCCCAGAGAAGCAGCTTATCTGCTTTCAAAATGGAAGAATTATTCTCTAACAAAAAAATAGTTATTGAGCTACTGAGTCCACAGTAAAAATACCTTTTCTTCGTGAAAGAATTTTTGCATACAGAAATGTGTTACCACACCACAATATATGTTTATTTCACTGTATCTACATTATTCTATTTTCCTTCATAAACATATTCTAAACATTCTTGGCTCATTACTTTTCTAGTTTTGGGGCTTTTCTGTACACACAGGCTTATCTTCTGTTCTTACAGCAGTGTGTTTGGAAGTTGAAAAGAAGCTTTAGAGATGCCCCTATTTACTAGAAAGGAAAAAAAAAAAAAAAAAAAAGTATGGCCATGCTGATGACCAGTGACTTCCAGGAGTGAAAGATTTACTCAGAAGAGTTTTGTTTCAATTGGTCAGATAAGGGGAAGAAAGACACAGCTTGAATGAAAGAGAAATCTCTTTCCTACTGAGCATTCTGTTACAGAATTTTTATCTCTCGTTACATCTATGGTCTTCAGAGCATCTTTCATCAAAGACTAGGCTTATAAACATGCTGGACCTCTGCCTTCTCACTTCACATCTGGTTTGCACAGATGAGCCTACAAGCTCTCAGTGAGGCAGAGCTTCCCAAATGCCTCCCTGGCATTTTTCCTCCATTCAAGCCTCCCTACAGGAAGAGGAAGGTGTGAATGGAGAAATGGGCTTGGAAAAATACAGCCAAATGTTGAATTGCAGCAGAAGGATCATTCAAAATCACAATCTAACTGCTACAAGGTAGTCATCATCTCCACTGTTGACCATCCTGACCACACTAGTGAACTCATGTGACCCACAAATGTGCTTCATTTTGAAGAAAGAAGAATCATTTTGCATTTGCCAGGGCCATGAAGGCACTACCAGGCCTGCTGGCCATGCCCAACTTCCCCTGGGGTCTCCCCCAGCCCCTGCCCATGGCCAGGTCCCCATTTCAGCTCTGCCTGGCACTGTCAGTCCCTGCCCCAGAGGCAGGAGTGCCAATCCCCAGCCCTCCTTCCAGCCCTGCCTCTTGCTGGGCCTCAAACCTGCCCTGTAGGCAGCTTCCTGGACAGACCTGACAAACATGTTGTAACTTGTCTCTGGTCCTGTCTCTGTCTCTGTCCTGGGTGGACTTTGGTCTCCTGCTGCAACCTTTTCTCCAGACTCATCTCTGGCCCCATTTCTTCTGCTCCTGCCTGTATCCCATGGTTGGACCCTGGAGCTGTTTCTTTGTGTGCTTTGTCTTGGACTGTCAATGGTCCCTGTTCTGCTGGCCAAATGTGAGATGGTGCTCCATGGGTGAGGACACTCCCTGTGCTTGGGTGCTTAATTTCCCAGCTCGCTTCTCTCTCAGGAGCAGTCAGCCGTCATCCTTCTCCTAACAGCAGACATTTCTGAATGTTTGCAAAGACCTTCCTTATACACAGAAGCTTTCAGAAACAAAATCCGTATCTTTACTGTGGAAAACTAGCAAGGGTGCCTCCCTCCATGGAGAAGGGAATGGTCCTCTTATGGCCTGGCTTCATGGCTGTTAGCTGCTTGGAGGAGCAGGAATTACAAAAAGCACCAGCAATAGAAGGGCTGCTGTCATCAGCATGAAGATTGGTCTATCCATACAAATGGCTGATCGTTTTCTTGAATGCAGTCACCATAATTCTTTCGAGGCCAAAATGTAATGGCAGGTGGTCTGGAAATGTCTCCTGATTTCACAGTGGCGAGTCCAACAAATGTCAAAAAGGAAAAGGTTCTGTTCTAGGAGTAGAGCAAACTCCATCCCATTGTACTTTCTATCACCCAAAACCTACAGATAAAAACAAGTAAAACAAAGGCAGATTCTTGGCCAAGTCTAATATTCTCTTAAAATAAATCACATTGGAAATAGCATCTGGCAGTAGCACAGCCCACCACAGTTCAAACCATGTCTGGTCTGGATTAGGGGACTTCCTGAATCATGGGATAGCTTTCCTTGCTTCCTAATGAATGTTGTTTTGTTTTGTTTTGCTTTGCTTTGTTTTGTTTCTCTCTCTCTCTCTTTTTTTTTTTTTTTTTTTTGGTTTCATTTTATCAGACTTCTCAAACTCAGAAGAATATGTTCTCCTGTTCCTCTTCCCTTGGATCAGACTCCAACATGCTTTCTCCAAATCTCAGGTTCTACAGGGTCTCCTGGAGGGGGCTTCATCTCTTCCATAGGATGCAGTTTCACTCTGTTTAAAGGTTATTTTTTAGACACATAATAAAGGTATGGTATGCTGCTGGACACAGGAGCAACAGTGGCAGCTTTTACTTCCCCAGCACATTAAGTGGAAACTTACAGGACTGAGTATCACACAGACAGCAGTGGAGCTGAGCAAGAGCATAGACAGGAAAGACAAATCACGGGCAAGATGCCACTGTCAAATTAGCCACAACTTGAATGGTTTTTTAGGGTGGTGGTGATTTTTGTTGTTGTTATTGTTTTGTTTTTCTTTTGTCTGTTTGTAAAAATTGATTCATTGTTCCTTTCTTCTCTGGGTGGAAATTTAATTTTTTTATTTTTTTTTATTCTGGACAAAGCTGGACAAGAAAATAGAAATTGCTGTCAGGGATAAAATCAATTTTAGACACAACGCAACAGAAACAGAAAACAAATTTGAACTAAACAAAGGCATATCAATATGATTATAGCTGAATCAGAGTTGTACAAACTGATTTACTTCAAATTTGGGCATCTTCTCATATGTAGAAGTCTAGTAGATAGGATTTACTGGCTGGCATTTTTTGTCAAACAGACAGAAAGCCTGCTGAATGGCTGCTGGTGCTCCAGCCTGCAACACTTAGATATAGTGCTGTCCTTTGTGTAATGTAAGGTGGTGATGGTTTCCACAGACTCAGAAGTGCTTTTTTGCTTTTTTAACTTTCTATAGTGGATTCATACAGCTCATGTTTTGATTTAAAATAAATAAATAAATAAATAAATAATAAAAAACAACAACAACAAAACGTATATTTTGTAATGTAATCTTTTTTTTTTTTTTTTTTCTTCTTTTTAACGTGAGCCAAAGTTTAATCCTCTCTGTCAATTAAAATGTTATCCAGTGTTATTCACAGACCTTTAAACTGAGATCCCTTACTTTGGCCCCATGCCAGGCCACAACCTGGGAAATGGTTCAGTTTTGATCATGAGTCCCAGGTAGGGTATATCTCAGCTTTAGACTTGCTCTATACTTTCTGGAAGTTGCAGTGGCTTGGTCCAAGTTTATGACAAAAGAGCAGCTGAATAAAACCTGATCCTGACATTCTAAAAAACAGGTGTTTCCTGATTGTATTATATAGGGGTAGCCCTGGCTTGTTCTTCCATCCCAGCAGAGGCAGAACCACAAGAGCAGGGCTCTCCCTTCCCAGGTGACCCACCATGGAGGATGTCCTTCTTGAGCTCCTTTGCATGCTTGTGTTTCCTGTCCTGGGTTTATGGGACAGACAGCCCTTCATCTGCCTTTCCCCAGTCCAAGGAAATAAGAGTAGGAATTTTTAGACTTTTCACTTCAGATTGTTTCTGCTCTGAGTCTAGTGCAGTTTAATGATGGATTAATTAAAAGTAATCTGTCACAATAGTTTAAGCATAAGCAGAAGTCTTTCTGATGAAGTTGCAGGTGAAGGAAACAGAAGCTGAGGACAGGAGCTAGGCTGAAGCACGTTCATCAGCCACACAGAATTACTGGCTAAATTTCTCTCTTTATTAGCAAGGGAGAATGAAACACCCAGGAGCTGAGGATTTTGCAATGGGAAGAGGCCAATTGCAGAGGGAGGAGGATCAGACTGTGATTAGTTGTGAGAGGTATGAAGCTTCTAATTATACAGGCAATCCCTATGCTCCTCCCCTGCAGCCTGGCAGAAGAGGATAGAGACACAGAGCTGGGAGATGGGGCCCCACATTTGGGAGGAGAACTCCTTCCATATCACTCACTCTAACAGGCTCTTTGGGGGAACTATAGGGAGATTAGTTTTCCCCAAACACAGGTTGACCCTTTCCCTGGGCCGTTCTGTGGGTATCGGGCACTGGGCTATGTACAAACAGCACAGCCCTCCTCTGACATTGTAATGGGAGCTGAAGAAACAGTGGCAAGGTGAGTGAGCTTCCCCGAGATTAGGCTGAAGCTGCTGTTGACAAATCTGATAAATTTATGCTACTGAGAAATGTGATAAATTAAAGGTGGATAGTTTGTTTAAAACTTCTTGTATTTGCAAGGGAGGTGTTAGGACTTTGTGGTCTTGTTCACATCCTTATTTTTGTTTTCAACTTGTTCCCTGTGGATCAGATCTCAGGTCTGAGATGCCAAAAACCTGAGGACATTATCTTTCTTAATGAAATGTCTTGATATCTCTGGCAAATCCAGACCCAGAATTAAGCCCTTGTTTCTTCAGTTGTGACTGACACATTCGCTGGAACATCGTTCTGCTCCCAGCCTGCTGTACACAACTAACAAGATAAAAGCTTTCAGCTATTTTTCAGGCAGGGTTTGTGTGTGCATATGTATATATATATATATATATATATATATATTATTTTTTTTTTCCCAGTGGGATTGTACACTAATCTGATAGAGTAGTAAGGTAACTTAATTGCTTTTTTTTTTTTCTTTTTTTTCCTGTGGCCTTCACCCCAGTGGTTCCCTACAGCCTTTTTATCCTTTGTGATGCCTGTAACAGAGTACTGAGTGATGTGTGAATGGGACACTTATCCCAAGTGGAACCTCACTGAAGACAGACAACAATGAAATTGCTACCAGACAATGTTTTCAATCTGTAAAGTCTATTTTGGGAAAGAGACATACTTTTTCTTAAAGCTGTCTGAAAAGCAGAGTTTGCTGTTCATGAGAAGTCTTTCCAACTGGAGTGGCAGCAGCTCAACTGAAAAAAAATGCCAGTTTTCCTTAGAAGCTACAGAGAAATCCCAGAAATGGTGGTACGGGATGAGCCCCACTTGGACACAGACATGGTGAGCCCAAATGAGGGTTTTCAAGCTTCTAGTCCTTGCTGTGTGACCTTGAAAGCTTGGGGAATGAGGAATCTATCTGTCTTCTACCTCACTGCTGCAAAACTGGAGGAGAGCCCTAATTATGTGGATGGTTCCCAGTTTTCCAGGGATTCCGCAGGGACATCTGAACATAGACCAGGATAATGGGGGTCAGCTATACTGTCTTGACTACTTGACTCAAAAGACAAGCCATGAATATTGCTTGTGACCAGGCGAGGCAGGCTCTTAAGCAGATTAGACGATTTTTGGTTGAAGTGGTTCTTGAAGAGCAACATGGCTCCCGGTTCCAAGGCTGTCAGCCAGGAAAAGGAGTTTTTTTGAAGCTGGGCTTTGGGATGATAAAAATTCACCAGACCAAAATAATTTCAGATGAACATTTTGATACTAACATACTGGCTTTGTTGGAACATTTCTAGAAGCCCTATATATATATAACTATCTTCAGAAATAATAAACAGTAAGGGAGTAACATTCTGAAATATTTTCCTAAGAGTTTTAGAGAATCTTATGGTGAAAATATGTGTTGTGGATCTGCTTTATGTTCTGTAAACCTGAAGATGGTGGCTCTGTGGGATTTGATTAATATCATAGCGTGCTATTTAAGTCAATGAAGTCTAACTTTTAAAAATTACAAGCCAAGTCCTCAGGTTTCTCTGCAGTATATCAAATATTTCATTAGACATTATTGTAGTTCTCATGGCTGTTTTTTTATTTTATTTAAAAAAAAATATATCTGTAGAGTCGGTTAAATGGCATTGTGGTTAAGAAACCCCACATTGGAGGTGTAAATTTACATATTTTCCTAAATTTTCCAAAATTGGCTAGAACATATTTCTGACTCAAAACAAAACAAAACAAAACAAAAAAAAAACACCACACAACAAAAAACACAAACAAACAAACAAACAAAACTACCACCACCAACAAAATCACCCAACATTTATTCTTAAATTACTTATGTAAGTTATTTGCAAATCAGTGGAAGAATGCAAAAATACTGCATAGGTACCACAGTGAAACAAAGTTTTTTGAGGACTATGAACTTACATGGTGACTTAAATATGGAGGCTGATTGGGACTGGAAGCAGAGTCATAGAACTTCATGTTCTTACTATTAAGCAGGTCATTTCCAGGGTTGCTCTTTATGCTCTAGTGACCTTTATCTCTTACCACCTTCAATTGTACTTGAAATGTATTCCCAAAGCTCCACTGTCCTGAAACACTCCTTCTCTTGCACAAGTATACTCGGTACGCTCCATTCATTGTTTCCTATACTCTAGCTGCTGGTAACACACTGTGGGTGACTCTGAACTGTATGTACTGAAAGGACAGTGTTTCCACTAAAACAAGCAAATAACATTAAAGGTGTGTTGCAGCCTCAGCAGAAACACTAATGTGGGTCTCTCTCCTCCCCTGTCACTATTTTTCAAGAAACTTGATAAGATGTTTGAAATGGGCTAATGGATTTTGAAGTGATGGGAAAGAGATTGTGGGGAGGAAAATGGACCTGAAAGGCAAAGGCATAGATTTTTCCTTAGGTAGCCAAGCTGAGCTGTCATATGCAGAGCTGAGCAGGCAGAAGAGTTCAGAGGACCCTCTTGCTCACTGCTATCTGAATAATCATTTATATCACTGCAAAGTCACTTTGAAGAAGGTGGGAAATCCTACAAAATCAAATAAATAAAATCAAAAGTATATTGAAAAATATACTCATTCTACACGATTTGAGATAACAGCTCAGCATACAAGTAGCAGGAAATCAGATTTCATACTTTGCTAGTGACACTCAAAACAGACTTCAGTGATTATTATTATTTTGCTTATTATTTTAATTTACCTGCAAATGACTTAGACAAATATTCCAGTTTATGAATTGTTTGCCTGGTGCACAGTTGTTGCTTGAAACGTTCATTATTCTTATTTGCTATTTGCATAGGTGTGGAGGAGAGGTATGGCAAGACAGTTCTATCTTGAGCTGCTCATAGGATGTGTTGCAGAAGGGCAGAAATAAGCCATGGAGGGATATAGTTCTTTTTCTGCTTTTCTGTCATCATGATTTCCTGGCTGTTACAGTGAATACACACTCTTTTACTCTCTAAGACAGATGTTAATGTCAGATGCCTTACTTAAAGTGTAGCTAATCTATCAGAACAAGTTTTTCAACTTGAATCTTTTATTTTGTAGGCAAACAAAATAATTCTGTCAATGAAAAGGATTTGCTATGGATGTGACAAACTGTATATACATCATCTTTGCAATGATGAATACTTGTAACCTTCCAAACAAGAAGCCATTAGGTCATTGTGCAATCAAGTGAGGGCATCCAGGGTGAGCACTTCATGTGAACTCTCAAATGACCATTTCTACCTATCAAAGAACCATTTATTTAGAGAATCTTAAAATTATTCAAAGGAATTCCCACCATCCTTTAAAGAAAATATTATCCATTCTGTAAACTGAAGATGAATTGACAATTTTTTCCAGTTCTCTGGTAGGAAAGTTCTTTCAGTCTTTTTCTTTTCACACATAAGAGACTAACTTTCCCTCAGCTAAAGAATAAATCCAGGCAGACTAAAAAACAGAGTGATAAGATCTGTATCTAATTCTGTAAAATAGAGGTAATTTTAAAGTTCATACTTGTTGAAAACAGAGGTGTATTAGATGAAGTCAAAATCTACAAAACTGGACTTCTGTTTCAATTCCTGAATAAATACATGGCCGCTTTCTCCTCTAAGTTTCTGGTTATTTAGTACAACTAGGAGCAACATTTGAAATTCGTTATAAGGAGAATACTTCCCAGAAAATACCTTATTTCTTTCGGTTATTATTATTGAAAATGCTTAATGGTTCTCACCATCTGAATATTTTAAGCAGGTTCACTCAGAGTAATGCCGATCTGCATTATTCTATTTAGCTCCTTTTAGCAGAATAATCCTGTAGTGAGTGAAAAGCCCTAAGGCAGCAGCTGGTTCCAATTTTATAATCTTGTGGTTTTCATCAGGTAGTGGAAAAAAAAAAATCTGTAACTATGGAAAAAGCTGCACTGTGAGCTATTAGGCACCAGAGAATTCACCCCAGAGAAGCCCTTATAAATATCCCAGTCACAGAAAAGACTTCTCATGAACATTACAATTTAGATTCAGTACTAACTATCAGACACAGATCTTCAGGAAATTGTCTTTCATTGGTTCTGATGTTTGACCAATTGTTGTTTGCTAAATTATCTCTAAGTAAAAATGTGTCGAACACCACTCATGCTTTTCTTTCTGACACAAAGCAGAAATGCATCCAATTGTCTGCAGAAGAGCAGTTACATATCTAATTTGGCTTGTGTGCAGTGAGCTGGCATTGAGAGCTACAAGACATCTGGGACTGGGCTGTTGGAAAGGCTGGGTCCAGCATGAGGAAGCCTTCACAACCTTCAACACCTCACAGCACCTGCCTTCTCCTGAGATGGGGCTGCATTGTTTTTCCTTCTCTTACTGCACAGATCATTTCATTTCCACTTGGAGCATATCTATATAATGCAACAAAAGTGCAAGGGTCACTGTAGCCACAGTGCTGTTGGCATAATACTCTACTGCTTCTTCACTGTAGATACTGTCACACTGTAACTGAGGCTGCCACCAGTTCTTGTCAAATTGGAGGCATCAAGGCATTTATCAGACCATGGCTGAACTCCTAAATAAGAAGTATTACTTGCCTTGCTTCTTTTTTTACCACTGGCTTTGCAAATTAAATGTTTTAAACATGATGAAAATGTCAGTTTCACAAATGGTTTATTGACCAAGCTGTTTTATGTTTAGAAAGAAATGTTCCTATAAGTAAGAACTATATGAGCTGGACAGGGCATATAAACTGAAACAAAAGAATGCCTTGATTAAATGTACTTAAAAGTTCGCCATCATGATTAATGGTTTTCTAAGCTTTCAAGAGTGCCCCAATGACCATATATTAAATCATGAATGCTTTTTTGAATATGCTGTATTGGCAGATGTTCATTAAATGTACCCTTATTACATGTGTATGTATTTTCTTGAGTTCTTTACAGATTAATGTTTACACATACGCGTCAGCCTTCTTACAGGAAAAAATAAATAGATAAAAGAAACCACTGCCACCCTCAAAAAAGGTACCTTGTACTACAGTAGTAAATATGCTTTCGGTATGCTTAATTTTGTAGGCTTCCTGAGCTGGCCCAATCTCATTGCCAGATTTTAACGTACAAAAACTTATTATGCTTACTATATTTAGATAGGCAATTCTGCATAATCTGGCTTTCCTCCTAAATTACATACATTATGACTCTTTTGAGCTTTCTTATTACATTATCAGTCTAATGAACAGTTCCAGTATATTGATTCAGTGACATAAAATCCGTGCAAAAATTTGTTAGTTGGGGCCTGAGCTGTTGGCTACACTCAGCTTGATTTGCATCATGCCATGCCACTGTGTGAATGAAAGAGGTAGGCACAGCACAGGGACAGCTTCCAGCAAAGGAAAGCTGTCATGCTGCCTCTTAGTACACAGTGACAGGCATTAGAGACACCATCGAAGGACACAGAACGTGTGCGTAGCATGATGAGTCACAGGTGCCTTGAAGTTCTTGATGAGCTACGTAAATGTATGCATCTCTTAGCAACTCTAACTTAGCAGACACTGGAAGCATGGAGGTTTCAGCTGTTAAAGTCATGTTGGCATGCTCACGTATGCCTTTACTAGAGTCATACAGTATACTCCTTGGACATAACTGAGGATTGAGATCAACATGTTTAGCTGGGCATCTGGACAAATATTAAACCGTTTTTGAACAATAATTTAGAAGAAAGTGCTCACTGGTTATCTGGAAATTTTTTATTATATGTGAAATGGTTGATATATATGAATATGAATGTATGATATATGAAATTGTTTAGGATATTTGAAATGTTGAGATCACAATTAGGAAATGAATAAAGCTTGTGATCATTCTAAGTGTTTTGTATCTCCTAAAGCTTTATAAGGGCTTTAGAATTCTCTCTCTCCCTCCTATTTTTTACTTTTATTTTTGGGTCAGGAAAGAGATACATTGCCACTACTTTTGATTTTTGGACCTCCTTGGAATCAGAATCTTGGTCCCTAATATCTCATTCAAGTAGCTGAAGAATGGATGGTGAATATCATGACAAAGAAAAAAAAGCTTAATTAAAGGGCATTGAATTTGGGAATTAATCTTTCTAGCCTGAAAGCAGAATAATTTAACTAATTCCACTATCTACTGTGCCCTTACATGTACAATGCACCTATAGGTTCAGCCTGTCAAATTGGAAGGTACTGATAAAAATATCAATTTCATTAGTCAGTTAATCTAAGAGTTCAAGTCTGGTAATGAATCATTTCCATCAACATTCTTATCCACCGCTACAGGATGTGGGGCTGTTCAAGTGGGTCCAGAGGAGAGCCACAAAGTTGATCAGAGGGATGGAGCAGCTCTCCTATGGAGAAAGGCTGAGAGAGCTGGGGATGTTCAGCCTGCAGAAGAGAAGGCTTTGGGGAGACCTCACTGCAGCTTTTCAACACTTAAAGAGGATTTATAAAAAAAATAAATGGAAAACAACTTTTTACTTGGGCTGATAATGTCAGGACAAAGAGGAATGGTTTTAAACTAAAATAAGGTAGATTTAGATGAGAAGTTAGGGGGAAATTCTTCATGCAGGTGGTAAAGCCCTGGCACAATTTGCCCAGAGAAGCTCCATCCCTGGAGGTGTTCAAGGGCAGGTTGGATCAGGACTTGGGCAGCCTGTTCTAGTCAACAGCATCCCTACCCATAGCCGGGTGGTTGGAATTACATGATCTTTAAGGTCCCTTCCAACCCAAGCTAC